TGCCCAGTAGAATTAGGCTACTGTGCAGTAAGCGTCAATAAAAACCTGTGTGCTGGTGCTACTGCACAGTAACACTAGTTACTGCACATTTAGTTAGTACTTCATTAACCAAGTACTAAATTGAATGCACAGTAACTACTGCACATTAATGAATGTGTTGATGTGCCCAGTTAGTACCTAATTATGGACATTTGGATTTACACAACTTGCCTGCCACCATACAACATCTCTGTGGCAGATGTTGAGATGGTAATCTGATCCTCTGAGACAGCATTCAACTTCCTCAACCATAATTCCCTCTTTACTAACTTTCTACCCCCTGCCTCATTTCCTATATACCTTCCAGCTTCTACGACAAATTAAACTGGCAATAAAGTCTTTCTTTTTGCAACCTTGGTTTATTCCCAGAGAACAGTCCCCTTTGTGCACTGAAAGAAGCAGGAGATCTATAAGAAAATATTTATATAATCATATACATTAAATGTTGTATCATAACGAATGACTCAAAGAGCTAAGATTGTATGCCATTTCTCAACTTTTGAGTGATTCACTTGGAAACCTTACAGCTAGGGACAGAATTTACACATAAACCAGTTTAAGTGATCAGCAGGGATTTTGGTTTTCTCTGAAACCCCCCCCCCCTCAATTTCTGAGTTAAAAAAGTAACCCAAAATCCATATTTTTCTGTGATTAAAATGAAACACCAGTAATACATACATACATACATACATATATATACATACATATTTTTTATATATATATATATATATATATATATATATAGGTGTTTTATTTTGATCATGGAAAAATGTGGAGTTCGGGTTACATTTTTTAACCTGAAAATTGGGGATTTTTTTTTTTTAACAGAGAAAACCAGGATCCCTGGTGATCAGAAACTGGTTAAAACCTGTAGCAGAGCAGAAGCTTAGTGTACATAAACCAGTTTCAAAATGGATGAAACTGGTTTAAGATAAACCTGGTTGAAAGTGATATCAGACTTAACTGTTTTGTGTCAAAATGGTTTATGAAACATCTGCCCCAGACCCCTTCCCAGTTCAAGTTAAGTTACAGTCCCCTAGCATGCCAGAATTTTGCAGCCCTGGGCTGGGCTGAGCTGTTTGCTCCAGAGAGCAGAGCTGGCCTTGCCGAGGCCTCTGTTTCCTAGCTGGAGCAGTGAGACCTGGCTGATAAGGGGGTGAAGGGGGAGACGCAAACCTGGCTGAGTATGTAGCCCAGTCTGCTGGGTGGAGGAAGAGGAACTGCCCCCTCCAGGCAAACCCCACGGGGTCTAGGTCCAGGGGGGAGGGGTTGAACTCCCCCTTCCCCTGCTCAAACTTACTTCTGGCTGGGACTGTGGACAACAAATCCCAGAGGCACCTGGAAGCAGGAAGAGGAAGTGATGAGCAACAATGCAGAGTCCAGCTGCTCTGATTGCAAATTCCAAAGACTTTGGGGACAGCAGGAAGAGGAAGTGAACACACAGCCAGAGAGCCATGCTCTAGCATCCCCTAGCTTCTAGCTTGAGCCACTGAAAGCATGTGGCTGCATTTCCTGAATCAAAGGTAAATGTCTGTTCACTTCTGTTTCAATTTAATCTGTGTAGTTTAGACTAATCTGCAAAGACCGAATCGGTTCAGCCTCAGGCTGTCTATATTTAGTCCACATATCTTTTGATTTAATATTTTGGATGTAATACAAAAAGAAGTTTGATTAGTTTATTTTCTGGTAGATGGACATCTGAAAAAGAAATTGAGTTATAGTAAATGACCATCAGAATACAGCAGAGAAAAGAAACAGTGATTCAAGGGAGTACTGAGATTCATTTTTGGTAGCAGCATATTAAAATATTTTTTCTTTAGGCTAAGGCATGAGATACATCTTTACTTACTTTTAAGTACAAGTAATTTGTTCACTGACCTGGTTTCATCTTATAGGTTACTTTATGTTCTGTGCTGTTTAGTAGATTAACAAACTCCTTCAGAGCTGCATAAAATGGCCGCACCTTTTCAGCAGATATGTCAAACACAGTGTCTCGTGTTGCATTATTATAATTGATACGATCCATTTCACCTCTGTCATTTATTCTGTGTGAGAGAGAGAGAGAGACAGAACTTTTTACACCTTGCTTTTGTTTTGGTAATAACAGATTTCTTTTCCCCTTGAAACTTCTGACTGAAAATTGAAATTTTTTTAATGAAATGTAGTGCTAGGACAAAATATTATTTATTACCACAGATAATAAACATATTATGGGGTGTAATCATTAATGCTAATCTGGAAAAGAGATAAATCTGAAGCACCTGTATTCTCATGTCCTTTTGAAAGTTGCACCTGTATTCTGTCTTTATATATTTCAAATGTTGTGATTCATAGATTTTACAGTTGGAAGGTTGCATTATTACCAAAACCTAACCTCCTAACAACATCACCTCATGTGACTTAAAGGTTTTCCATCCAGGTACTTCAAAACATGGTGCCTCCTCAGCTCTATGCACTAGGCACATTCAGCTCCTTTATAGTCCCTAACTTCTATTTGGACCTGTGACTGATATCAAGAGGTTATTCTGGTTGCCTTCATTTCTTGGGGAAGTGAAGGAGTGTAGGAAGAAAGGAAGGAAAGTTGGGGCATAACACAAATTTAATATAATAAAATAAATACTACTTGGCACGTGAAGTTCAACATAAAACAATTAATGAAACAATAATTAAGGACCATGTTGAAATGCTATGTTACCACAAGGTGGCAGTCCCAGACCTTCTCATATGGCTTCATGCAAGAGAAACAAACTCTGAGAAAAGCAAATTGAACTTTTTAGTACAACCAAACTCTTGATGTGTAATTCTGTAATTCTTGGTGTCTGACTACAAGTTACCAGCAGTATGGTTTTGAAATTCTGCTAGAAATAATTGTGTTTGGATAGTACTCACTGTATTATCTTCTGTTTGGACTGCATAGAAAAATCACAATAATCAACCCCAACATCTGTGAAATCTACCAGAGTAGAGGTGAGGATCTGAAAGGCTTGAGGGTTTTGCTGCTTTAGCTTCCTGGAAACATGGAATCCATCTACCACTTCACTTTCACCTCCAGTAGTGGTTTGTTTTATACAGTGAAGAAACTGAACCTGCAATAAATTAAGACCTGATTGCAAGAAGAACTACATAAATATTTAATAATCAATATTACTGGTTAAGTCATTTGCCCTGCAATTTAAAATGATCCTAAAAAAACTAAGAACCATTTCCTCAATGTATTACTGCAGTTTCACACCAATACAACATGATTATTACTATGGAGAAAAAGAGATTAACAACTTCGCTAATTTTGCTTAAAGCATTTGTTGTTTTCACACAAGCACACAGAGGCCATATCTATATAGTAAATATAGTGCACTCAGTGGTAGTAGTCTCAAGTGTGCTATATTTCCATAAGTATTTCTGTCTGGCACTTCAGACAGGCACTGCTGAGTAACAATACGACTTAGTCCACCCTATGTACAGTTATTCTGATAGTGACTCAAGGATAATTAACTGTCAGAACAGTGTTCTGTAAGATCAGGTGTAGGCTAGACCTAAGGTAGTTCTTAGGCAAAACACCTGAGAAAATCTTTCATTTACCATATATAGGAACAGACCAGAGATGATTTTTTTTCCAGAGAATCACATTTCTCCCCCTCCAACTTCTCCATATCTTTCTTAAAATATGGAGCCCAGAACTGCACTCAGTACTCTTGATGAAGTCTAACCAGGGCCAGAGGTACTCTCACCTCCTGTATTTTATACCTAATACTGTGGTTAATTCAGAATAAAGTTACAGTCATTTTTTTGCAACTATGTCACAAAATGTCAGACTCAGGTTGAATCTGTGATTTATCAACCCCGCACCAACCCCCAGAATTTTTCTAAATAATACTACTACCCAGCTGGTTATCTTTGGGCCCATCTACAGGAGACATTTACTGCACAGTTGACTAATTAACTGTGCAGTAAACATCTCAGCATCTACACATGCACCCCTATTAGGGTGCACAAAACTAATGTACTCTACAGCAGGGTAGTACTTTCATTTACAAGTACTATCCCGTTGCAGAGATTTTTTTCATGCTCAGCAGTGCATGTATTGATGCTGGCTGGGACATAAGGGTGCTTGAGTGCCAGTGCTGCCTGCTAGCTAGCCCTACACTGAAGTACCCTCATACTTCAGCCAGCCCCTCCTCAGCACACTGAGCCTGGCAGGGCAGGCCCTCTGGGCCCCCTGCCATCCGGGTCTTTAGCACCCTGTCCAATGTGCTACGGTTCAGGCACATGTGTAAACCATGTAGTTGGGAGCTTCCCAGGAGAAATAAACTGCAAAGCAATAAGCTTTGCACTTTGCTGCGCATTAATGGCATGTGTAGATGCATCCTTCCATTCTATATTTGTGTATTTTTTCCTATGTGTAGCATGGTGCACATCCACTTTGAACTTCATTCTGTTGTCTCTAGTCCAGCTCTCCAATATATCAAGACTCCTTTGAATTATTGTCTTATCCTTCAAAGTGTTTACAATCCTTCTGCTTCATAACATCTGCAAACTTGATCAAGAAGCTCTCTTCCAGCATACTATCAGAATGCAGCCCTGTGGAACCCCACTTCAAGCCTCTTGCCATTCTGACAGGCATCTATATATAATGCATCTATAAGGCCGACACCCTTTGCTTGAGGTTACCGAGCCAACTGTATATCCACCTTAGTAATTTTATCTAACTCTTGTGGGAATGTTACATGGGGCTTTATCAAAAGCCTTTCTAAAGTTCAGATATACTATGTCTACTGCATTCCCTTGATCCACGCAGCTAGTTATTTTGTTAAAGGATATCAATTTGATTTGGCATGATTTGTTTTTAACAACTCTGTGTTTGCTTTTAATGATCAATTTTTATTTCCTTTTCCAGATGTTTACAAATTAACTTTATAATTTGTTCCTTTAACTTCCTGGGCATTGAAGTCAGGCTCTCATTCCTTGGGTCCTCTTCTTTCCCTTTTTTAAAGATGAGAACTATGTTAGTGGTTTTCTAGTTCTCTGGAACTTCACCCATCTCCCACAACTTTGTAAATATTATTGCCAGTGGCTCTGAGAGCTCTTTTGCCTGTTCTTTCAGTATCCTGGGATGAATTTCCTCAGGCTCTACCAAATTAAATTAATTTAAATTAATGAAAAGCTCACTGATGTGCTCTTTAGTTCATGTGACCTTCTGCCTTTCTTGTTCTTTGTCCACATTCTTTTTCTTAGCTCTCTGGTTGTATATTTTCTAAAGACCAAGGCAAAACAACCATTGAGCAGCTCTGCTCTCCCTTTAGTTATTAATAGTTGGCTACATAGTAGTGGACCCATAGCTTCCTTGATTTTTCTTTTCTGTACAACATATTTACAATTTTTAAAAACTTCTCGTTGGTTTTACTTTACTTCATCAGGTGTAACTCACTTTTTACCTTTGCTTTCTAATTTTGTCACTGTAATTCTTGCAATTTTTTCCTTATGTTTCCTTAGCAACTCCCAATCCTTCCGCTGTCTGTAGATTTACCTCTTGATTTTTGAGGCACCTGAGAAGCTCCTTTTATAGTCATATTGATGTCCTTATGCTTCCATCAGGTAGACTTCTTGTCTAACCAATATGACTAGGCTTCTAATCTGTGTAGGACTTAGTAGGACTTTGTGATCCTGAGTAAGCCTATAGTACTGATTCCATTAAAAATTCCAAGGGATGCAAAATGAGAATGTAGCTTTATGTTTCAAAGAAAAGTATAATTTTTCTAGAACTAAGAGTAATTTTTTTCAGGATCTTGAATAGAAAATTGAATATGTGAGATCAAAACTTGGGAAACCTAAGGATATTTTTACGTGAGATTTCTAAAACTGATCATGGTCCATTTATGGACATATTTTCTGTTACTCTTTATTAAATGTCTTTCTAAAATAGTCAAATACTATTATAATAGCTAGTAAATTAAAGTGATCATTCATTGTGGATCTATATAGTAAAAATGTTTCAACGTGCTTAAAACTATTTCTGTTTTGTACAGGTATTTTTTCTTTTAATTGAAAAGACTGCTGTTTTTAATGTTTTTATGGTTGTGTGTGATTTTTGGCACAGATAAGATAGTGAGCTAAGTCACATCTGTTTCCTATTACTGAAGTACCACTCTACTCTTATTCTACATTAACTAACAGCATCTAAATGAGTTTTCAACAGGTGACACATTAATATGAAATATTTGGCTCTTATTCAGGAAAAGATCATGTTCATCTGTTCATTTCATTAAGAAAACAATTGCTTCAAGTCTTGGTGAAGATGAAGGGGGGGGGGAAGGGGATTCCAAGTATGAAATATAAAAGTACAAACATTTGCTGTAATATCTTGGTTGGTTTTTCTTTTTTGCATGTATGCCTTTTAGTTCTGTAGTGAACTATATGGACGGTATTAAGAAATCATGGTAAATATGACTATGATTGGGTAAAACATATTTCCTATTATCAGATTAAAGTTGTTGAATTCCAGTTTCATAGGATGGGTCATTGTTTTCTATTGTGAGGGGAAAAATAAGTAGAAGTACCTTATTTCCCTTATCCACGTATTAATCAATTTAGCATCTCATTCATATTTCCTTTTATTTGATTTCTCTCAAGTGTGAAACTCATTTACATTGCATTATCAAAGCTGTATAAATTACTTAGATCCTTAAATTCCACTGGTTTAATGGAAGAGGGCTGGCCATATGATCTAGGTGGTTTTAGAAAAAAAACTCCCTGCCCTAAATTTCCAATATATCCACATACAAAAGCAAAACTAGGGCTCTATTTTTTTTCTATGCCCATATCTATACTTTATCTATTGCTGCTGTCTCATTCTTTAAATAAAGTGACCATAATTGGAGAGAATGCAAGTGAAATTGGGAGCAGCGGGGAGAAGGAGGACACAGGTGCACATGTGTTTTGTACACACGTGTGCCCCCCTTACCAGACCCG